CAGATCCTTCTTACTTTCTTTTTTTTTTCCTTTTGTGACAGGAAAACGCTTAACTGCGATGTGCCACCGCCTCACCATGATGGACGTCCGCCAAGCCATGGCCACGACAAAAGGGGACCTGTGGCTCAGCATACTGGAGCTTTCACTACCACAGCATGACGATATCATGGTCACATCAGAGGAAGACAATTCCCAAGGCGAATTACCAGAGGAGGACGAACAAAGATGGCGACGTTTGTGATGGAAGCTGCTCAAACAACATGGTCGGCCCCTTTGGCCCTACCCTGCTGGCTCCAGAGGATGCGCTAGCTTAGGTGACAGAACAACAGTTTTACCATAGCTACAAACGCACAGTGACGACCATGCACGTAAATCATCACAACTCACAAGACACGGGTGTCAAACCATTCGACTCTGCACAATACTACGCACTCCCTCCATTTCAAATTATAAGTCATTATATAAATTTTGTAGAGTCAAAACATCTCAAGTTTGACCAAGTTTATATAATAAGAAAATAACATTTATGATATCTTAAATTCTTTATTAGTTATATTTTTATAATATACCTATTTGATGTCATAAATCTTTATAATTTTTCTATAGTTTTGATCAAACTTGAGAAATTTTGACTCTTCAAGATTCTTAGAATAACTTATAATTTGGAACGGAAGCAGCGACGCGGTTTGTAGAAAAACAACATGTGAGCAGTTGTTCATTGCAACACGGAACGTAAGGGCCCTTGCCATGTTCTCAACAGGCCAAACAGGAATGCCTACCACTGCTACAAACGTAACGAGGCCTCCAATAATGTGACGCACGAACTGAGAAGGGAAAGAGCAGAGAGATTCACATGAGATGAAGTGGCAGCAGTAGTGGCGCTTCAGTGTTTATCAACCCATACGATACGGGCTACTTTGAATACACACACCTCTCAAGCTAGCTAGCGTCCTCCCAAGTAGTTGCTGTAGCAGGTAAGTTTGCTCACTTGATGAGCCATTGAACAACTAACTCGATATTGCGAGGTATCAGGCGGCGCTCTAAAATTTGTTCTTGGATAGTTGAAATCCTTCCGAGGGAAAACCCTCTCTCTCTTCCTCCTTTCAAATTATAAGACGTTTTAACTTTTATAGATTCATAACTTTTTTTTATACACTTAGAGCATCCCAATAGTTTAAAAAACCCACTCCCAATCTAGATCTTTTGGCAAGATTGAAAAAATTGTTCCCCAACAACTCCCTACCTCAACTCTCAATCTTTCGGCACTTGGGAAATTCGACTAATCGCGCGGATAAATACGCAAGCGTATCCATGGACCAATCTGAAGATGGAAGGACATGAGAAAGAATAAAGAGCAGGACAAGATTTTTGATGCAAATATACAAGAGAGAGAGAAAATATAAAAATGGTTAGTGTGATTTATAAATAGTCTGGGATTGCTGATGTAAAAATTATCTTCTATATTTTAGAACCGAGATTTTGTGAACTGTTAGAGCAACCCAACAAATATGCTCTCTACTTTTTTTAGCCACATGGAAAACTCATTGATTTGCCAATTGTTGTTTTGGAACTATTGGAGTTGTTATTAGATATACACTATATCTAGAATTCTAGATATGTAATAAAAATATTGTATCTAGAAAAATAAAAATATATTGTAATTTGAAACGGCAAGAGTAGCTTTGCTTGTAAGCAAGCTTGCTATTAATTCTTTCCAATACCCTGAAGGGTCCATGAGATTTCGAGTGGAGTTTGATGATACAATGCAGACTCAAAGATGTTTGCCGGTATGTTGGTTTTTTAAGAGCCACTGACAAGAATACGCTGAGCATGTATTAATACGAAAGAAGAATTTTACAAAAACTAAAATAAAAACAACCTCACAAAAGGAGGCATCAACAAAACTACTGTCGCAAGAAACACAATACCAATGATCCTCATAAGCAACAGTTGTCAAACATCACTCTGCACGGCATAGATAGCAAGCGATCTAAACTAGTAGGGGGAGTAGGTTTTCCACACTGATGCCTCTAAGAAGGGGAACGGCGCCCTAAGATGCCATCAACGCTGAAAGGAGAACCAAGGTTTCTCAACCAAACTCGTAGAGGGTAGGAGGACTCACGACAATGCCTCCAATGAGGGATGTGCTGCCAAAGGCGTCATCATTATCAGCCCAAGCCAAAGGCCTAGCAGGGCCTTCGCCCGATAACCCCCGACACCCAAGCCCAAACCAGCCACATCGTGGACGACCACAGCCCACCGTCACCAACAGGAGATCGTTACAGCACCAACAAGGTCACTGACCTGCCGCTACCACGCTAGCCCACAAGGGTCGCCTCCATCCCACATGGCACCGGCCACCTTGTTCGTGCATCATGCAAAGAGCGTCGCCAATGTCGTTGCATATCGATGCCCAACAAGCTTCTAGGGAAACCATGAGAATCCCCGCACAAGCCGTCGTCTTCAACAAGCCACCATTTGTAGGTTGTCGTAGCAGCGGCGAGCCGGCCACTAGCATGTGTGGCCAGTCACAACCACTCCGGTCAACATAGACCATAGCCAACTAACAGAGACCAACCCACTACAGATCGCCTCTGGTGGAAATACGTCGCGCCACTATCCACTTCTACCTAGCGCCGCAACCGAACCCTTCTACAGTGGCTACGCATTGTTGCCACCATTGTAACCAAAGTACCTCACCAAGCATAGGAGCCACCGTGACCCCACCGAAACTGACCAACGCCAAGCGAGGCCAATCGTCGTGGCCATAGCCGCCAGGAGTCGCCCTAGGCCAGCCGCTGCCGCTGTGTCCAAGATGCACCGCCAACACACAGGTCAACTTGACGCAACGTCAATCGTCAGAACCGTCATCAACTTGACCAATGCCGGCCACCATGAGATGCTCCAGGATGGAACGAGGTAACCCCTGCAGAGCAGCCCCTTGTGCAGAGCTGCGCCACCTCTTCTTACAGGTCGGGTTGTGGCATCCAAGCCCCTCGAAAGCCACCGTCATGCTACTGCTGCCACTGAGCCGTCGCGCAAGCCGCTAATGCGCAGACCGGCGGGGGCGAAGAGCTCACCTCTCCCGGTGCCAGCAGATGCAAGAGTTCCACTGCATCGAGCCCCATCCGCCGCCGCCCACCTCCGCGTTGCTGCGCCGCTAGGACCATTGCGCCACTTGCGCACCCAAGTGCCGCCGCCCACCTCCATATCGTAGCTCCTGCAGACCGCCGCGCCACCACCCCTCTGCACGCGTAGGCCAGCAAGACCCTCCAGGCCGCTAAATTTGTCGCCGGAAGTGAGGGCCACCACCAAGACCCTCGCCGCCGCCATCCTTGCGCCCACCAGCATCCGGTAGCACGCTTTGGTGACTACGAGGTGGAGGGATGGAGGGAGGAGGGCCCCCGGCGTCGAGGACAACGGGTCCACCCGAGCCGCCCGAGAGTGGCGACGCGGGAAAAAGTGCTCGATGCGAGTAGCATGTGTGCCAGTATGGTTGGATCTTTAGATAAATCATATGTCCCGCCTCAAAACTTCTCTTAGATCTGTGCTTGCTAGAGCAACTCCAAGAGAAGACGTATCCTTACCGTAGAATTCATATTTGACTATTTTAAAAAGAAAAGAGAATCCAACAAATATTGTATCTAGCATTCTAAAATAACAAGGCATCTATCCCGAAGATCTAGCTATAGCACACCGGCACCACTAGCCATCCGCCTCCCGCACGCATGGTGCCTCACGCCGCTCGCAGTTGGCCCTTTTGAAAACACATGGCATGGCCCTTTTAAAAATATATAAAATTGTAGTTGAAAAGGCTATTGGAGTTTTCTATTTTTTTTATAGGTTTTCTATTTCAGAGGCCGGCTAAATCATGGATTTAGCCATCTAATTTTACAAATTCTCTTAGAGTTGCTCTTAGCATGGCTCTTAGTACATGCCTACGCTTTTAAGGGGTGTTTGAATAAACTAAACTAAACTAAAATTTAGTCCATATTTTGGATGCCGAATAGGAGCGTGTTTAGTTCCCTGAATTTGGGAATTTAGGCTACTGTAGCATGTTCATTTTTATTTGGTAAATAGTGTTCAATCATGGACTAATGAGGCTCAAAACATTCGTCTCGCAATTTCCAACCAAACTGTGCAATTAGTTTTTTTTTCGTCTACATTTAATGCTCCATGCACGTATCGCAAGATTTGATGTGATAGGTACTGTAGCACTTTTTTGGATTTTAGGTACCAACTAAACACGCGCTAGGTCTAAATATGAACTAATCATGGATTAATAAGAACTAATAAAGGCTAATTGATGAGTGAAATTCACTAGAAAAAAATAATTAATCCATGTTTAACCTGTTATTCAATGACGGACTAAACTTTAGTCCGATGATACAAAAGGCACTTAGAAGACTTTCTTGGATTAGCTATTGAGCTAGTTCTCCGTTCTGCAGTAACTGTCCTGCGATGTCATCAGGCCAGTCAGGAAGAGAAGCACTACTTCAGCCATCACTGGGGTGACTGACGATGTTTTGTAAAGATTTACTAGCACTCACCAGCTGCATTTACAATGTGCAAGCACGGAAATGGTCGCTCCCTATACATACTTTGGTGGATGTATATCACTACATTACTACTTCCTACGTTCTAAATTATAAATCGCTTTAACTTTTTTTAGATCATCCATTTTGCTATGTATTTAGACATAATATTATATCTAGATATATAGTAAAATAGATGTAAAAAAAAAATCAAAGCGACTTATAATTTAAAATGGAGAAAGTACTATCAAAGCACATACAAACGCCGCGTATGCAACGCTACTTGATCGCTCTTGAACGAGCAGTCATCTACATCACTCAGCGGTCATTCTATCGAGATTTCTCCTTTTTTTCCTTTTTTTTTTTTGAGATGCCATCCTCAGCAATACCAGCAAGTAGGACTCGGAAGTCACACAAACAATTTTACATATCTGTATCTGCACACGGGAAGTCAGAAGTGAAATGTTACTGCTCTTCTGCGGAAAAGTTGGGTTCTGCTGGTTTCTGCAGCAGTCTTGCAGGCACTCTTTCCTGCAGCCTGGCCTTGCGCGTGGCATTTCTCCTCAGGATCCGTATCATGTTTCCAGCGAAACGCGAAGCATATAGTGCTGCCATGAAGCTGAGCGAAGTGGAGTTGTCGTTGGCAATCGCGAATTGCAATCTCTTCTCCTTCTCACGCAGAGAATCTTCAATCTTCTTTCTGCAGTACCGGTGCCAGGCTGCTTGGATGAAACAGGCAGCCCAGGTTCTCCATTGCTGCGAGTAGAATCTGAAAGTGTGCTGGAGTTGTTTGCTGTGGAGTCGTCGGAACTGAGTTGCTACAAACCTTAAGTCTTCAGCCCTCAAAGCAAAAGCTTCGACTTCAGATATTGTCTTCACTGTCCGTGTTGAGCTGGGGAGGCTGGATGTTGATGTGGGGTCAAGAGCCCAGGTGAGGAGCTCTTCGCCACAGAAATCTCCAGCTTTCAGAACATCAGAGTTAAAGAAGCCAGTTCTTCCACCATTTGTCGTCACGCTCATTAGATTTCCCCTCATGACGAAGAGCATTTCGTTTACCGGATCTCCTTCACGAATAACACAGCTACCTTCTGTGTATAGAATGGGCTTTAGGCAGTCACACATGGCATCCAAAAGCTGATCGTCCATATTTTCAAACATTGGAACCTGGAAACGATGAACGCAGCAAGGTAAAACATTCAGGAAGATCAATACATACATCAAAATACAAAAAAAAAAAGTTTTCTGCTGGGCTAAACTCGAGGGCCCCTATGGAAGTTATTGTCCAAATGGAGTGCTGCTAAGCTAAGACCAAGTCGTGCTATGGTGCTTGTAGATTTTACAGGATTGTGTAAAATCTAAGGAACAAAAATTAGATTACAGCACTGTATCTGATTAGCCCTTTGCCTGGAAACATCAGCAAAATAGAAGCCATGAATTTACGAATCTAAAGGAGATCGTGAATTCTTAAAAGAACTGGCTCAGCCTCAGTTTTTTTTTTTATAAGGAGCATCAGGTGAATGATTACTGATAAGTGATGGTCAATAGGGTACTATAGGGGGGAAAAACAGATGAGAACATACCCTCATGAGAAGCGATAAACAAAGATGTCGTTTTATATCCCTCCTAAGATCTTTGGGGAGGTTCATAAGGAGTTGCTCTTCGTCAACACCGCTTGTTTCTTGCCATCTATACTGTTCATAACGACGTATTCTTTCCTTGAGGTTCTCAGGAAGATGTCGATATGACATCCACTGATCTGTGTCACGGCTTTTCACTCTCATTTCTTCTATTCTCAGAGAGGCTGACTGCAAATAGGTCTGGAAATAGGGTTGAAACATTGTCAAGACTCAAGAGTAAAAAAAAAACACATTAATTGTGAATTCTCTAAAGTAAGGATTCTTCTTCCAAATGTTGGTATAGATCACCAGATCACAGGTAATTGGGAGGATAACTTGGCCTGGGGCCTTGTATTGAATTGCAAAATACAAGACAGTTGAATTGTACAAGTGGTTCCCCCCCTCCCCCCCATGTGCTCTTATAGGCCAGGGGTTTACTACCTAATGGTAGATGCTTTAGGAAACTTGGCTGCCAAGGTGTTTATCAACTTCACCACCAAGGCAAGCCCTACCAACCACATTAGGACTGAAATGTAAATGCTGGAAAACATGAACACTAGGCTAACTACTGACAATTCTCCCCTTTAGCCTTGTGGTCCTTGAAAGTGATCTGCTTGAGACCAATTCTTCCCCTCATCTCTTCAAATTTTGATCTTCCAAGAGACTTGGTTAGAATGTCAGCCAACTGATCAGTGGTGGATATGTGATCAGCCCTGATATTTCCATCTTCCAAGCAGTTTCTGATGAAGTGATACTTGATTCTGATGTGCTTACTGCGCTCATGAAAGACTGGATTCTTGGCTAGAGCAAGTGCAAACTTGCTATCAACTTTCAGTTCAACCACTTCCACATTCCTTCCAAGGAGGTCTGCCAGCAGCCTGGATAGCCAAATAGCTTGTGTTGCAGCTGTGGTAGTGGCAATGTACTCAGTTTCACAACTAGATTGAGCCACCACCTACCTTCGCTTCACCGACCGCCAAAGACACAAGATTGCTTCCTCGAGAAGAACAGGGGTGCCACTAGTGCTCTTGCTGGTGTCAATGTCCCCAGCCAAGTCACTGTCGCAGTACCCAACAAACCTTGCTCTCCCTAGAGCCTTAGTGTAGTGCAGGCCAAACTCCAGAGTACCAGCCACATATCTCAGGATGCGCTTGATGGCAGCTTGGTGCTCTGCAGTCGGCCTCTCCATGAATCGATTGACAAAGCCTACTGAGAAGGCTAAGTCAGGTCTTGTGTGGACCAAGTAGCGCAAGCTGCCCACCAATCTTCTGTATTGGGTAGGATCAACTGCAGTCGTGCTCTGCCTGCTCAACCTCACCGCTCCTCCATTGGTGCATGGGCGGGTTGCGGCATCCATACCTCCTAGCTCAAGGATCCTCTTGGCATAATGGGTTTGCCTCGAGTGATCCCATTTGGATCTTGGTGTACTTCGACCCCGTGTAGAAGGACGGGAAGCCGAGGTCGCTCATGTCGAAAACCTTCTTCATCCGAGCCTTGAAACCTTCTATGGCTTGAGCGGCGGCACCGGTGATGATCAAGTCGTCAACATAGACGCCGCCGATCGCCAGCAGCCTCCTCCCCATTTCTCGCTTGTACATCGCGGCTTCATGGTCGCTTTCTTTGAAACCCATCTCCTTGGGTGGCGCCCGACTTGGCGTTCAAAGTCATGGAGCTGCCGCCAGAGGCCATACAAAGCCTTTGCGCAGACGGTACACCAACTTCTCCTTCCCATGATGACGGTGAAGCCAGCGGTCGCTTCACGCATACACCTCCTCCTTGAGGTCGCCGTTGAGGAAGGCCGATTTGACGTCCATGTGGTGGACATGCCATCCTTCTTGGGCCGCCAATGCGAGGACTCGGACGGATTCCATGCGCATGCGCCGCCACGGAGCAAACGCGTCGTCAAGTCGATCCTTCCTCGCTGATTTAAAACCCGCGCCACCAAGCGCGCCTTGTACTTTGGTCACCGCGCCCGCTCATCCTTCTTGAGCTTGTAGACCCACTTTGTGGTGATGGGCGGTGACCGGAGGAAGCTCCACAAGCTCCCACGCGGCGGTTACGCTCAACCGCTTTGATCTCTCGCTCCATGGCGGCTCGCCAGCAGGATCGTCTTGACCTCCGCGAAGTTGGCGGCCGCGTCGGCGGCGCGTGAGGTGAAGCTTCGGCGAAGAAGACGTGAAGCCGGCGGCGTGTGGGCGCGGCCCCGATGATGTTGGGCATGGTACGGTACGCGGTACCGCCGCCGTCGAGAAAGCGCCAAGGCGATCGCCGCTGCGTCCTCGAAGCGGTGACGCGAACTCAACTGGAGTCGCCGCCGGTCTCCGCTGGCGGTGAAGCAGAGGAGGCCGGTGGATCGTGCTCCTCGAGCCGGTGACGACGTCGCGCGGTGGAGCTCGTCGCTGCGACTCCCCGTAACTCGATGTCGAAGTCATTTGGAGGCGGAAGCGACGCCCCGGCGGCCAAGTGGACCAATCTCTACCGCACCTTCATCAAACACCACGTCGCGGCTCACCTTGACGCGCCCCGTCATTGGATCGAGGACCCGGTAGGTTTTGGCGCCCTCGGCGTAGCGGCGAAGAAGACCCTAGCCTTGTCGCGGTCGTCGAGCTTGCTTGCACCGCCCGAGCTCCCTTGTGTAGGCGACGCGCACCAATGTACGCAGATAGCTCACCGCCGGGCGCTTCGTCTGCATGCCAGAGGCTCATAGGGGTCTTGCCTTGCAAGCTTTTGTCGTTGGCTGGTTGAGCAGATGCACCGCCGCCATCACCGCGCCCCCTGAATTTGGCGGCATGGACCTCTCGCTTCAGAGCGCACGTGCGGTCGCCACGACCGCCTCGATTGCGCCGCTCCACCACACCGCTTCGCTGCGGTGAGTGTGGTGCGAGTAGTGCCGCTTGACTCCTTCGGCGGGCGGCATCGCGCCAACGCCGACGGTGAACTCTCTCTCCATTGTCGGTCCGCAGCACCTTGAGCTCACACGGCCGGTCTCCTTCTCTCGCTTCGGCCTTCACCCGCTTCACACGGCATCCGTAGCAAAGATCCTTGGTCGGCGAGGCACCGCCCACATGAAGCGGGTGGCGTCGCCCACCATCGCAAGAAGTAGTAGCGGCTCTCCTGGCGTCGCCGGCGTCACCGGCCCGCACAAGTCGCCGTGGACGAGGTCCAGGGGCGCCTACGCGTGGTATTGCGCCTGCTGCAGAAACGGCTTGCGACGGAGCTTGGTGGTGACGCAGGTGTCGCAGACTTGCTCGCGATACTTGATCACCGGCATCCTCCTCACCATCTCTCGCTTGCCGAAAGTGGTGCGGCGCCTCAAGCCGAGATGCCCGAGCGCCATGCCACCTCCACGACTCGTCCTCCTTCCTGGCGGCAAGACACATCGGCTGCGCGGCCTCCAAGTGCAGGATGTACAACCGACTGGGCCCGCGATGTACCTTGGCGAGAAGACGACCACGCTGGTCCCAGATACGGAGCACTCCATGATCAATCTCACACCGAGCCTCCTTCGTCGAGCCGCCCCAAACTCATAATCGAGTTCCGAGCGCCGGGATGTAGAAAACGCCATGGAGGGCCGCCGCTCCCGTTCTGGCTCGAAGACGATGGAGCCGGTCCCTTGATCTCCACTCGAGACGAAGTCGCCGAACGCACTGCGCGCTGCTGCGCCGTGGTGTCGAGCTCGGCGAAGAGCTCCCGACGGCCGGTCATGTGATGCGTGGCCCCGGCCGGGTACCACCGGCCGAAGCGCCTCCCTCATTGGCGCCGGTGTTGAGGAAGACACGCTGCTGCTCGTTGATGTCGAGGAAGCCGTGGGCGACGAAAGCGAGCACCATCATCGTCCTCACTTCTCGCGACGCGGCGCAAAGACCGCCACGCCCCCACCACCGCGCTTATCCACCTCGATCACCTCCAACGCGGTTGCCTCTCCGCCTTTGGTTGCCACCGCCGCCGCCGCACCACCACCACCACGGGCGCGGTGGCGGCGTCATCGCGCGCCAAAGGGCCGCGATCACCACGATTGAGGCAGTGTCGTCGTCGCCCGCGCGCGATCGTCGCCACCGCCGCCTGTCTCCTCCGCCGCGATTGCCCTTCCCGCAGCGCCGCTTGCCGCCGCGTGGACGACGTCATGTTCCTTGCCCTAACGCGAAGCGGCAGCCTTCTCTCTCTCTCCTGGCACGCCATCGCTCCCTTTGAGCGAGCCGCCGATGGCGGTCGGTTCCATGCCGGCGCCTCCATGTCATCCACCGTCTTCAAACGCCCGGACACCTCGATGGTGAGGTCTCGGAAGTCGAGAAGCGTCTCGATGGCGATCCGAGGCGGGCGATTGGCACGGCACGCAGAGCCTCTCCACCGCGCGCGCTCTTCATCGATGTCGTTGTCGCCGTGGAGGAGCCGCGCCGTGAGGCCATCAGCGAAGAGTGAAGTCCTCGATCCGCTCACCCGGATGGAAGGCGAGCTTCTCCCAGTCGCTGCGGAGTCGCTGGAGCGTGGCGTGGCGCACCCGATCGACGCCGATCCGCGCGGCGGCGATGGAGTCCGAGCCTCCTTGGCCGATCCTTCTGACAGACGGCAGCATCGTGCATCTCTCCGCGCGCGCACAATGGCGATGATCACCTCCATCGCGGCGCTCGTCCTCATGGTACGGCGAGCTCGGTACTCGATCGCGCCCCGAGTTGCCACGCTGGAGCTTGACTTCATGATCGAGGCCCACTCATGGTAATTTGACTTGGTGAGCATCGGCCAGGTGGAGCTTGAGCCAGAATCCTTGTATACGGTCTGGATCACCGCTGAAGCGCCCTTGGCCCGTCCGTGGCGACGATCCCGATCCCGATTATGACGCGTCTGCTGCGCTTCAAGGCTCGCTCCGGGCTCCCTCTCCATGGAAGCGGCGGCGGATCCTCCACCAACTCTCGACGCAGAGCAGCGGCTGCGGGCGGCGTTGCGTCGAAGTTGCTTGCCGCTGCGGCCTCGCTCTCGCTGCGCTCAAGGCGCTGCGTGGCTGCTGCCTCTCGCTGCGAGACGCAGACAGACGCCGCGCGGCGGCGGCGGCGGCGGCTGCTGCTCTCTCTGCGGGGGTGGCCATGCCTTTCCGTTTCTCTCAACCCCGAGCTCTGATACCAATTGTTGGTATAGATCACCAGATCACAGGTAATTGGGAGGATAACTTGGCCTGTGGCCTTCTATTGAATTGCAAAATACAAGACAATTGAATTGTACAAGTGGTTCCCCCCTCATGTGCTCTTATAGGCCAGGGATTTATCCCAGGGAATATTCTAACTACCTAATGGTAGATGCTTTAGGAAACTTGGCTGCCAAGGTGTTTATCAACTTCACCACCAAGGCAAACCCTACCAACCACATTAGGACTAAAATGTAAATGCTGGAAAACATGAACACTAGGCTAATTACTGACACCAAACTCTTTTATTGCATAAAAAAGGGCAGACCCAGTGCCGGAGGCTCCCACATGAGTGGGGTCTGGGGAAGGGAAAAACCGAGGCAAGCCTTCCCCCCGCAAAATCTGCGGAGAGGCTGCTTCGAACCCGCGACCTGGTGACTCAGTGAGACAGCTCTCACCACTGCACCAGGCCTGCACCAGGCCTGCCCTTCTAAACTCTTTTATTGCATGATTCAATAATTTAGCTTCTCACTATATCCAATATGGAAACATTTTTGGACAAACACTTGCTGGTGTTGGCCTCAAAGATTATGTTGGCCAAAGCCACTCTGCGCCAGTAATAGTGGCACAATTTTCTTAAAAGAATCAGTTGTGTAATTTAATCACAGATATATTCTATTTGTCCTAGTATATATGTTTTTGGCACCAGTCTAGCAGCCAAGTAATCTCCAATAGATCACGTGTCATAACATGTGACACAGTAAATTGCAAAAGGAAAACCAAAGACAAGTCACAGGTGTTCAAATTTATAGGAAAAGGAAAACCATAAGACAGATCATAGGCTTCAACAATTGAGGATCGATGGGCAGGTTCTATGTCTGTATGTTCGAGGGAAAAAAACAGAAATCAGTCTGTTACAATGAGATAAGTTGAGTGCCCTATCAGTAGTAGTCCCTATTCCTAGTTGGATAGGACTCCTAATTTGAATGTATTGTAATTCCAAGTACTATAATAGATACGAGGTTCTAATGGCAGCTGCCAGCATGGTGGCATGCTATTTTCTCCAAAATTCTACATGGTATAACAGCCCAACTTCTATCCTAGGAATAACTCAATGCCGAAAAAGTTATCACTCACCACAACTAGACCCTCCCATCTAAATAACCTCTGAGTAGACCAACGTTCTCAACTCTCACACAATGTGGCACTGCCTCAGCACAGATCTGCATGCGAAATGCAGGGTGGTTATTGTTGCTAGTGTCATGCCGGCTGCCACAAGCTTCAGCGTCAGCTACCTGTAGCTACTTAGGGACACCTATATCACTAAGAAAAAGAAGGCAGGAGAGGAGAAAAGAGAGTTGCTGTTCTGAGCCTTTGGTCAATTGGGTACTTGTTGCCATTGATTGACAACCTGATTTAAGACCTGCTTTATGTACATGATAATCAAGGTTATGTTGAATGTTGCTTTGATTTGTTAATGCATGACTACCTAACAGAATCTGAGCTTTAAGTTTGCCACCAGAGTACATTCTAATTCGAGTCCATCATAATCTCAAATAATATAAATAAAGGGTGTGAGGATATGAAAGGCCAACATATAATTTTTCCTCTCCTAAATATCTATAGCATTTTATTATCTCATTCCAGGATAAGTTCCTGCAAGTAAAATCAACACAATGGAAGTTCCAAACTATCAGTGTTCAATGTGTTCACCTGGACATTTCCGATCAGCAATGCAAACAGAACTAAGCCTGATATTGAGACAAAAACTGCGAATAAGTTCTCCCATGCATAAGTGCTTGTTTTCAGGTTTTGGCCAAGAGAGCTGCATTGATTATAGCAAGAAACAAATATAAATGTCAGGCTATCCATATCTTGGTTTAAAACATAAGTTTGAAGGTTTGCCCTTTAGACGCACCTAAGATTTTGAAGACCCCACCAAACACAGAAGAACAATTTGGCAAAGAAACTTTTTGACTGTGATACATTTTTTATAGCTGGTGCATAAATCCCAAAGTACGGATCTGGAAGGTTTGACTGATTACTTAGTAGGCAAGTTGTAGATAAGAAAGCATTCCCCTCGTTATCATGATCTCCACAGTACAAATATGCAAGATCACATCTCGAATTGTTTCTACATTGCTGTCTCCAGCAGGAATCTTGGCGTTGAATGGAAAGCAAGTACCAAAGAGCTCCAAGGACCTGCAACAGTTGAAAGATTGATGTCATTGTTGAGGTTTTGTTAAAATGCACTTCTGAAAGGTAGCCTACAGTATTTCCCTAAAAAAGAATAGCATATGCACAATGCTACAGATAGCATTATGAAAGGTGCTAAGCATGCAGAAGGGTGGAGCATAGCACCTAATCACCATATAGCAGTATTTCAAAAAGCACTAGGCAGGTGTGCCTACGCGACACCTAGGCATTGCTAAGTGTTTATACTGTCTATGGACAATTAGAGTAATTCCATGCCAAATAGAGGAAATTTAGCATGTCACAACAAAAATATTAATGGTATCTTGCATCCATGAGTAATAGAATTGTAGTTCATCTTCAATCTCTAATTGCCCCACTTTCATGCATACATCAAGCCCAAAACACCTCTATGCGGGAAAAGCCTAGAAGAAATGCCTTGGTGCTAGCAAGGGCAGGAGGAGCTAGGCATCACCTTTTTAAACAGAGCTACATAGATGCACTAGATGGCCATGTTTTAGATAGCTCGCCTGCCACACCCACAACACTGCCCCCTGTTGGCCAGGTAAATACAAAGTGGATCTCAGATTTGGGTAAGGCCAGAGGGCAGCTTAGCCCTAGGCCACTTGGATTGAATTGAAATGCAAAATATCTGAATACAAAGTGGTCTATGCCACTGCTTTTATAGAGCAGATGGCTTCTCTCCCTCTCACCCACTCCAGCACTTTCCTAACCACTAAAGTGAGTGCTGAGCATATTCCTAATACTAGGCTATTAGCAGCCGAAAAGTAAATGACAAGAAATAGTAAGATACAAGCACTAGGCTTAACTATCAATCTCCCCATAAGCCTTGTGCTAAGTCTTGGAGATGATCTGCCTCAGCCCAATCCTCTACCTCATCTCTTGGAACTTGGACATGCCCAGCGACTTGGTGAGGATGTCTGCTAGCTGATCAGTAGTGGCAATGTGGTTGGCATTGATGCTTTCTTCTTCCAAGCAATCCCTGATGAAATGGTATTTGATTCGGATGTGCTTGCTCCTGTCATGGAAGACTGGATTCTTGGCCAGAGCTAATGCAGACTTGCTGTCCACCTTCAGCTCCACCACATCAACCTTTCTGCCAAGGAGCTCTCCCAGCAACCTTGACAGCCACAGTGCTTGAGTTGCTGCAGTGGTAGTGGCAATGTACTCGGCTTCACAGCTTGACAAGGCCACTACCTTCTGCTTAAGAGATTGCCAGCTGACCAAGCAGTCGCCGAGGAAGAACATAGTTCCGCTCGTGCTCTTGCTTGTGTCAATGTCACCGCCGAGGTCGCTGTCACAGTAGCCGACGAAGCGCGCCGTGCCGGGGGCCCTTGCGTAGTGCAGACCATAGTCGAGGGTGCCCGCCACGTACCGGAGTATGCGCTTGACCGCCTGTAGGTGCTCTACCGTGGGCCGCTCCATGAACCGGCTGAAAAACCCGACCGGAACGCCAAGTCTGGCCGGGTGTGCAACAAGTAGCGGAGGCTGCCGCCGAGCCGCCGATAGTGCGTGGAGTCCACATCCTCCGCCGTGCTGTGAAGGCTGAGCCTGAGCGTCTCCTCCATCGGGGTATGCGCTGGATTGTAGCCAGCCATGCTGCCGAGCTCGAGGATGCGCTTGGCGTAGTGGGTTTGATGCCTTCATCCGCGCAGTAGGCGGCGAACTTCGTGGCGGTGAACTCCCCGCCGTTGTCGGTGCGCAGCACCCGGAGCTTGCGGCCGCTTTCCTTCTCCGCTGCTGCCTGCACTTGCTTGATGGCGTCTGCAGCAGCTCCCTTGGTCGGCAGAAGAACAACCCACATGAAATGGGTGGCGTCGTCTACCAGGAGGAGGAAGAAGCGCCACCCGCCTGGAGTCGCCGGCGTCACGGGCCCGCAAAGGTCGTCGTGGATGAGCTCGAGCTGCTCCTACGCGCGGTATAGGGCTTGGTGAGGGAAGGGGCGTCTCCTCTGTTTCGTGGTGACGCAGGTGTCGCAGAACTGCTCGACGTGCTTGATCATCGGCAGCCCGCGCACCATGGCCTCCTTGCCGAGCTTGTGCAGCGCTTCGAAGTGGAGATTCCCGAACTGCTCATGCCAGCGCCATGCTTGATCATCACCGGGTGCGGCGAGGTAGAGTGGCCGAGCCGTCTCAAGCTGAAGGATGTAGATGCGGTTCGGACCGCACCGGACCTTGACGAGAAGCCGGCCACGCCGATCCCAAATCCTTAGGACTCCCTTGTCGATCTCCACCTTCGACGCGCCCTCGTCCAACTGGCCGAGGCTCATGATCGAGTTGCGCAGCGCTGGGATGTAGTAGACGCCGTGAAGCCCTCGATGCTCGCCGGTCTTGCCCTCGAACACGATCGACTCAATGCTTTGAATCTCCACCTTTGAGGCGTCGCCGAACTTGACCGAGCCACGGACATTGCAGTCGAGGTCGGTGAACAACTCACGACGGCCGGTCATGTGGTGGGTGGCGCCGCTGTCAAGGTACCAGCCGTCAAGCTTGTCTTCACCAGAGCCAATGTTGAGGAAGGCACAGGCTCACGGTTCCTCGATGTCGAGGCTGGTTGCTGCTGCTCCGTTCTGCGTCTAGCTCCAAGAAGCCGTGCGTGAGAAACAGAGTAGCCTACTCTGCTTCCGCGACATTCGCCGCGCCGCCACGCTCGCGCCGAGGATGAGGGCAATCCTTGGCCCAGTGGCCAGCCCGGTTGCAGTTGAGACAGGTGTCGTCGTGGTTCGCCTTGCGTTCGCCGCCGGCAGCGCCTGCCTTGTCTGCGTGACCGCCGCCGTCGCGATCACCCTTGGGCTTGCCTTTCTTGCCGCCACGGGGACGCCGGCGGCGCTCCTTCGACGTTCAGGAGCCTTACTCCTTCTCGAATGCGTGCCACTACTCCACCGTGTACAACAGCTTGCCGCTGACAGCGCCCGGCTCGGTGTGAGGCGCCTCCTCGCGATCTTGCACCGCCTTCAGCCTCCCGGTCACCTCCTCGACGGAGAGCGCCTCAAAGTTGAGGAGCGTCTCTATCGCGAGCACGATCTGAGAGTACTTCTTCAGCATACAACGCAGGAGCTTCTCCACCGCGCGTGCCTCTGTGAGGTCCGTGTCGCCGTTGCGTGCCATCTGCTGCATTAGATTGGAAAGACGGAGAGCAAAGCCCTCAACTTGCTCACCGGGGTGAAAGGCGAGGGCTTCCAAGTCCTAACGGAGTCGCTGCAGCATCGCGCGGCGGACACGATTGTCGCCGATGCGTGCTGTGGCGATGGACTCCCACGCTAGCTTCGTCGTGGCCTTGTTGGCAAGGGAAGCACCGAGCTCTGGAGGTACGGCGGCGGACAACGCCTCGAGCGGCCGCCGATCGTCGTGGAAGTCCACGCCTCCAACATCAACCGCCTCCCAGAGCTGCCAAGCTTGCATCTTTACCTTCATCAGGAGGCTCCACTCGTGGTAGTTCGACTTGGTGAGCATCGGCCATGGCGAGCTCACCCCTAACTCCCGGTACACCGTCTCGATCACCGGAGACCTGGGATGGTCTCCGCGTCCACAGCGGCGCTTTGGTGATGGTGCGCGGCGCCTCCTAGGGCTTCGCGATCCGCAGGGCTCCCTCTCCATCTCCGCGCGCAGCGCTTCGGCGGGACTGCCTGCGCAGCCGCTGCCGCTGCGGTAGCAAGGCGCACAGCACGGTCATCGGCTCCATCTCCTAGTGCCCCACCGGGGTTGATCACCGCGCTGGTAGCGGCAGCATGACGTGCTCGCTCGCTGGAGGTGGACATGGCTGCTCTGCTCTCTCAAGAACCTAGGGCTCTAGATACAAATTGTTGGCCAGGTAAACACAAAGTGGATCTAAGATTTGGGTAAGGCCACAGGATAGCTTGGCCCTAGGCCGCTTGGATTGAATTAAACTGCAAAATAGCTAAATACAAAGTGGTCTATGCCACTACTTTTTTAGAGCAGATGGTTTCTCTCCTTCTCATCTGCTCCAGCAGTTTCCTAACCACTAAAGTGGGTGCTGAGCATATTCCTAATACTAGGTTATTAGCAGTCGAAAAGTAAATGACAGGAAATAGTAAGATACAGGCACTAGGCTTAAGTATCACCCCCTTCGCGACCAGGAGAAGACAATCACTCATTTGTTGGTGGGCTGCAACACTTGTGTCAAGTTTGGTTCAACACGCTGAGCCTAGTGGGTTTGCAGATTGGTGTAGAACCGCAACTTAAAAGCAGCAAAAGAACAGCACAGTGTATTCCACTCCTTGGTCATATTATGTGCTTGGCAAATTTGAAATTCACGGGAATGCTTGCGTGTTTGATGGAATGTCACCAAGCGTGCATGCATTTATTAGGGGCGGTCTGGATGAAGCTGACCACTGGTGTTCTCCAGGGGCAAAAGGGCTGGAAACGTTGCTGCAGTAATGTCATTCCTACATTGTCTTCCTAGTTTGTGTGTGGCGCATCTGCACTTTGCAGGAAAAAGTCTATATAACCCCACATTTTCTAGGGAGTCTAATTTGTAAGATAATCTGCTGCTGGGCTCTTTGATTTTGCTGCAGGAAGCTGGCAATATGTCAATTCCTTGCTATCTTTTCTTCTCCACTCTCTACTGCTGCTAGTATGGCAATAGGCCACTAAGTCAAGGCTGATGTAAGCCATGTAGAGTACTTGAGGCTGATCTCAGGCATGGTACTAGTGTACCTTGTAGTTGTTCAACTACTACTCCTAGATGTATATATACTCTATGGAATGAAACAGAGAGAAACCAGTTCAGTTGCTCCACTTGTGCGTGCTGTGTTCTGGAATGAAACAGAGAGAAACCAGTTCAGTTGCTCCACTTGTGCGTGCTGTGTTCTGTGCTCAACCCTTCTACCTCCAGCCCAAGGTGTTGTGTGTGTGTGCGAGCTGCTGCTCACCTGTGCAGGTGCGGAAGGCAGCGGAGACAAGACCCGTCGTGGCAGTCCCAGTCGCCACAGTGACAGGAGATTGTGGTGCAGCGGACTGTCAGGGAGGTGGGCGGCACCCAGTACCCTGTCCTCACCTGAACCAACTACGGGGAATAGGCGGTGCTCATGAATGTGATGCTGAGGGCGCAGAAGCTGTGGCGTGCCATCGACACCGGCACCGAAGGCGAAGATGAAGATTGCGCTACAATGGAGGCACCTGTCTACGCTCACCATCGAGGACGTGACAGGCCCCTCAAGGCGGTCGACGACCAGGTCGAAGCCCCGGCGGCGACGACGGCCAGTGGCAAGCGGCTGCTGACCAAGGAGTGGGCAGCAGCTCGTATGCGCGAGCGGCAGTCCAAGGAAGGCTCCTCCAGGTCGTCCAACTATGGCGGCACCAGAAAGCGTCGCGGCAGGCCAAGAATCCCAAGGAGCAGGCGCACCTCACGCACGCAGAGGACTACGAGCCAACACTCATGATGGCGCTGGTGTGCACGCTGAACGACGCGATTGAAGAACCGGAGCCGAGGGAGAAGCATAGCGTCTCCCTCGACGAGTCGTGCGCCCAGGTTCACAGGGCGGCGATGCGGAGCAGAGGTGGTAGCTGGACTGTGGAGCCAGCAACCACATGACCGGTTGTCGGTGTTTTCGGACCACCAACGAGTAAATTTGTATTTGCGCGTCTGGCTCGGATGGTGTGCTCGGAGGACACAAGGGTTTATACTGGTTCAGGCGGAACGTCCCTACGTCCAGTTCGCTGCTGCTCGTGTTACCAGCACTTGGTTTACAGTAGGGGTTACAAACAGGCGAGAGCGAAAGGATCCCAAGTCTCTGGTGGAAGTAGTGAACGGGTGCTGAGAGCTCGATTGCCGCTCAGCCGTGTGCTCGTGTCGTGCTCTTGTGTATTTATCTCGTGGTCCGGCCCCCTTTCATGGGGCGCCCTGCTTCCCCTTTTATAGGTGAAAGGAAAGCGCGGGTTACAGCGGAGGAAAATGAGAAGAACGAGAGAGAGAGAGGAGAGAGAGAAGAAGGCTTCAAGGAAAAATCGACCTCGAGTTCATTGAAACCGGCCAACAGCTCGCAGACATCCTCACCAAACCTCTCGGGTGTCTTCGATTCTTGGAGTTGAGGAGCAAGATTGGGACGGTGGAATTCAAGCTCAAGGAGTAGCAACAGGGTTAGGGGAATTGTAAGATAATCTGTTGCCGGGCTCTTTGATTTTGCTGCAGGAAGTTGGCAATACGTCAATTCCTTGCTATCTTTTCTTCTCCCCTCTCTAGTGCTGCTAGTATGGCAATAGGCCACTAAGTCAAGGCTGATGTAAGCCATGTAGAGTAGTTGATGCTGATCTCAGGCATGGTACTAGTGTACCTTGTAGTTGTTCAACTACTACTCCTAGATGTATATAGTCTATGGAATGCAACAGAGAGAAACCAATTCAGTTGCTGCACTTGTGCGTGCTGTGTTCTGTGCTCGGTGTTGTGTGTGTGCGCGCGCGCAAGCTGCTGCTCACCTGTGCAGGGAGCCCGGGTGCCAACATAATTAACCCCCCGACCTATGAAATCATGTATTGTGCAAATTAAAGTTTGTGACACCGTGCAAAGAACCCCTTTGATGGTATTGAAAAGTGGTTTTGCTAAGATGGTAATCGACGCTGGCGGGATTTGACACCGTGGCACACGGACCCACATGTCAGCCTATTGGGTCACCTCCTCTATCTTGCTTCTCTCTCCTTACCCAACTGGTGACTGCCGCCATAGTCCGCTTCGGTTCTCCATGGCGTCCACCGTGCCTACCTCCTCGCCAGCGTCAACGGATGCGACGGTGGTTACGCTCTCAAAGGGCATGTCGCACTCCATCAGGAAGAGGCACTCGCAGAGGGTCAGTTTCTCCAACTCCAGCCTCGCAGCGCACACCTCCTAAATGTATAGGGTGAACATAATTCCCAACTAAATGTATTGATATCAATATGTAGACATTTTAAAAAACAACTGATGGTAGAGTTTATATCAAAAGAAAAAAAGAAACAAATGCTGTACAGCTAACAGAATGCTAAAGTCCATGAACAAGGCCTTGTGAATGTGCCTGAAGGTGATGTGCCTGAAGACAGTGGCTGGATCTTATGTGTTGGGTCTGTGTTCATCCGGGTCTGGAAAAGTAATATGTAAGCAGCTGATGTAATAGGTTGGTTATCTTCTGGTGTGATAAACTCTGGTGGTAGATACTTTTGTGGTGAATTCTGGTGGTCCACCCACCTACCTTTTTGGTTGTGTCTGAGTGCCTGAGACAGGTCTTTGTTCATAGTCTGCACTCTGCAGGTGTAGGATTCCTCGTTTGTCCCTGGTGCTGTTCTTTACAAACTTCTGTATTTCCGTTTTATGAATCGAAATGGGGTAATCCTCGGTTAAAAAAAACAAGGCCTCATGAATAAGCAAATGAAAAAATATCTCATGGTTTTTTTAATCTACTTAATTGATTTCTATCGTACAAAAAATGACTCGTGTGCTGCTAATGCAGTCAATTTACTGCAGTAATGACAACTGAAATTAGATACCATCAGAGTTTTACAAATAGAGCACTTACATGGCTGGCAAGCATGTAAAGCAAAAGGTTGAAAGCAGCACCAGCCCGTGCTGTCTCTGTAATTACACCAGCAGACCTTGTGATTTGGAGGTATAGTGGCCTTATCCGTATTAGACGAGGAACATATTGGCATATAATTATAAGCATTAACACATTTTTGGCTTTCATAAGCTTCGAGCCTTGAAGATTAGGTAGCACAACCAAAATAATAACCTGTTAACAGAAAGTATCATTATTTTCCATTGAGGGCAACAGACATATCATTAGTAGAATCTTAACTACTCCCTCCGTCCCAAATTATAAGTCATTCCAACTTTCTTGGAGAGTCAAAACATCTCAATTTTGACCAAAATTATAGAGAAAAATAAAAATTTATGACATCAAATGGTTACATTATAAAAACATAATTAATGAAGAATCTAATGATACTTATTTGAAATCATAAATGTTATTAATTTAAATTTGGTCAAAGTTAAGATGCTTTGATTCTCCAAAAAAGTTGGAATGACTTATAATTTGGGACGAAGAGAGTATATAACAAAATGCAAACATGCATAAGCCTTAACTTAATGCATGATCAGGACAGCCAAAGTACAGAAGAACCATCAAATAAAAAGGCAATTATTTTCAGGATACAAATTTATGAAAACTATCATTTCCAATGCGTGGATTATAATGTAAATCTGTAAATTTTAACAGGTCAAGATAATTTCTTATTAAGTACTAGAAGTCCATCAATGGTAATAATTTGTTTCATGTATACCAACATGCTACCAAATGTAAAACACATTTCATATGATGCTATCAAAATGCTTTAGCAAAGAGCTTAACCAAAGTATATTGCAAAGAACACATGTTATGATGCCATCAAAATTGTTCTGTAGACCAAGTACCTGAGGGATGGGTAGAATAGCAAAGACATCAATGAAAAAATATGTTGATAAGTAGCGCTTTGTTATTGCATATCTATCTTCGATTAAGACACCCCGCCCAAAGGTTGTAGGAGATGATGCAATAAAGCCTGTCCGGAACTGAAATATGATATGGAGTATGTAGAAAATATCTGTGAAAAAACGCAGGACACTTGCTGCCTTTTCCAACTTTCTATCCAAATACCAGCAAGGTTTTTCATCATTGATAACTGGGATATACAAGAACAATGGATCCACTGAAACTGCAAATATACATGATATCACAAATATCCTGTTCCATTTTTGCAGAAATGGCCCTTGAGGATGAAGTGTTCCTGTTGCAGACTTTCTTTCCTCAAGCATTGATCTATTTGAGGTTTCTGAGTGCAAAAGATTTCCTAGCAATGCAAAAACCCTGGCAGTCCTTTCTTTAAGTGAACTGAATACTGAAACATCATCTCTATGTGGAGCAACTATGTTCTCAGAACTAACAGACTGCTCTGATCTCCAGTCCTGAAATCTGCACATATAATACACCAAACAAAACAATCAGTAGTCAGGACAATTGTTGCATGTTAAAAGTTCCCCAAATCACCCAGTTCCATTCAAAAAAACTGGGCTGGCACTTGCCTTTTTTATTTCTTCGTCTAATAAAAATCAAAAAACTGGGCTGGCACTTGCCTTTTTTATTTCTTCGTCTAATAAAAATCACAGCAAAGCTTTTTCCGTCCTTTCCAAAAAAAATAATTGGATCCCAGTGCCTTTTATTTTAAGTAATCAGGTTGCCAAAGGCCTAAAATTCTGTTCTTACTTCATTAGTCTAGTTGGGCCCCATCCATTAAATCCTGTGATAGACCAAAACTCCAATCTCCAATATGTGCAATGGTAGTGTGGTGTCGCATGCTATGCTTGCATCAAGCCCCTTGTGGTCCCTTTACGTTCAGGAATGGGAAGTCCGGTATCATCTCTGTACTTTCAGAACCACAAAACGCCTATGATGGTTTTGATGCACAGAAAACAATGTTGGCTCTATACAACTTGCTGACATGGATATATGTAGTTAATAAGCCCTGCTTCCTAAGCACTTCCTAGATAACTATGCTAGTTAATTACAGTCATTAAAGACCTTGGGCAGCCCAAGAGATGTGTACGGCTGCCAAGGCACCTATCTGATTAGCTATGCTCTAGTGAGCTGTTTGTAATCAATGCAATGTCTATCTCTATATATAATCAAGGAGACGGCCTGGGGTTTGTGGCTTTTCAGGCTAATCAAGTCTGTGTTACCTCCAACATTTGGTATCAGAGCTAGGTTAAACACGAGAGAGCCACGAGGCTAACTCCTCACCTTCTCCACCCCATGTCGACCCTCTGCTTTGGCCTTGTTGCTGAGCTCAAGGCCAAGGGAACCGGCGATGGAAAGTCAGGCGACTCCTCCCGGCCGTGCGCTGCCGCTTGAAGGCTGCAGAGGAAGCAAGGCTGGCGGGCAGTCCGAGCAAAGCAAAAGGGCGGCGGCTGCAGAGAGCGGAGAAGGGCAAGCAAGGAGGATCGCAGCAGAGCTGGGGGTCAAATTGTCTGCCGAGAAGGGAGAAGAAGAGGATCTGAGAGGAGGAGGAAGAGGAGGCGAGAGAGCAGAATCGGGGCTGCGGACTCCGTCGCGAGACAGAGGCGCTCATGACCCTGCTGGGACCGGAGGCGCAGCATGGCGGCGGTCGCTCTGAATCACCGCACGGCAGAGTGGGTGTACCGCGACTCGTAGCGACACATCGTGGCCGATCTTTGGACAAGTCGAACTACTACGAGTGGAGTCAGACCATGAAGCTGAGGATGCAGGCGCGCGATCTCTGGGACGCCATCGAGGGCGGCCCTGTCCAGTTTCGCGATGACAGGCGTGCACTAGAGGTGATTGTCGGGGCCGTGCCCAAGGAGATGGGCATCCCACTCCTCGACAAGGCTACTGGCGCGAGGCGTGGGGCGCCATGGTCTGCGACTTCGCATCGGCGTGGACCGGGTCCGTCGAAAGCACGCGCCGCAGCGCCTTACGTCGCGATTGGGAGAACATCGGCGTCAACCCCGGCGAGCAAGTGGAGGATTTCGCCCTGCGTCTGTCAACTCTGCACCAGCAGCTTGTCATTCATGGTGACAAGGACATCACTGAGGAGCGTGTGGTGGAGAAGTTTCTGCGCACGGTGCCAGCCAAGTACGCGCAGATTGTTGTCGCCATTGAGCAGTTCCTCGACTTTGAGGCTTCACTCTTGAGGAGGTGGACCGAAGGCTCAAGGCGGTGGATAATCGCGAGGAACAAGCGGCCGACCGAGCGAGCGGTGGCCATCAACGGCAAGTCATTGTGACACCGAGGGAGCGATGGAGAGCGCTGTTGGAGGAAGCGAGAAGAAGGAGATGATGCCGGTGGTTCGGATTCGAGGAACCGGTAGCGGTGGCGGTGGACGAGCCGCGGTAGTGGACGAGGACGAGGCAGGCGGTGGGCGTGGTGGCGGACGAGGAGATGGCAATGTTGTTGGCCGCGTCGGCCCCAACACCGCCTCAATCGCAACCAGAGGGCCACTGGCACGTGAGTGTCCCCCACCGCGCCGTGAAGATGCAGAGCGGCGGTGGAGGTGGAAACCGTCTTTGGCATGGCGGTGGCAATCGTGGTGGAGGTCGTGGCGGCGGAAATCAGCCGGGCGGCGTGGCGGGAACCAAGGAAGGCATGAGGCGCGCGCCTAATACGCCGAAAAGCGATGAAGATGGCGCTCTGTTTACGCACATGGCTTCATTAGCTCGAACAAAGCACGGTTGGCGACTGACTACTACGGCAAGAAGACGTCGAAGTTCTCCGAGCCACGTGCTCGCGCCTATCTCGGCGTGGGGACGAAGAAGAGGTGGACAATGGTGGTACACGGACTCTCGTATGACGCATCACATGACCGGGCGCCAAGAGTTCTTCTTGTCGATCTGAACATCGGCGTTCGAGGAACGGTCCGGTTCGGGGACGCGCGTCGAAGGTAGAGATCAAAGGCGCCGGGTCTATTGTTTTTCCAAGCCAAGACCGGTGAGCGAGGGTTCTTCATGGCGTCTACTTCATTCCGGCGTGAAGAACTCTATCCTAAGTCTGGGACAGCTTGATGAAGGAGGGTCCAAGGTTGTGATTGACGATGGCGTGCTTCACATTTGGGACAAGAGCCGCCGTCTGCTCGCCAAGGTACACAGAGGGAAGAATAGGTTGTATATTCTCGCATCTTGAGGTCGCACAACCTCTCTGCCTCTCGCATGACGCATAAGGATGAAGAGGCGTGGCGATGGCACGAAGCGCTTTTGACCATCGCAGACTTCGACGCACTCCGGCGACTCAAAGCAAGGAGGAGATGGCGCGCAGGATGCCGGTGGTTGACCATGTTGAGCGTGTGTGTGACATCTGCGTTACACCAAGCGTAGGCGGCGTTTTTTCCGGCCGCAGCAAAGATACCGCGTGCCCGTAATCGACTTGAGTGGTGCACGGTGACTGTCTTGGTCCGGTCACGCCAACGACACTGCCGGCGGCCGTTATATCTTGTTGCTTTCGTCGATGACGCCACCCGCTTTATGTGGGTACGTGTTCTTTCGCCATCCAAGGACGCAGCAGCAGAAGCAATTAAGAAGGTCAAGGTGGCGGCGAGAGGTGGAAAGCGGGCGCAAGTTGAAGGTCCCGCGACCGACAATGGCGGCGAATTCATCTGTCGCGGAGTTTATCGTGACATCGCGCGATGAAGGTATTAAACGGCATTTCAAAGTGCCCTTATTCACCGCAAGCGAGCGGTGTTGTTGAGCGCAGAACCAAACGGTGGTGGCTATGGCACGAGCTTTGCTCAAGCAACGCCAGATGCCCTCTCGGTTTTGGGGGAGGCTGTGATGACGGTGTGTGCACATTACGAATCGATCCCCGACGAAGGCCAAGAATGCCACTCCTTATGAGGTGTGGCACGGCACGGGCACCAACAATCGGCCACCTCAAGGTCTTTGGTTGTGTTGCTTATACCCCGTGGCTTACTCGGCCCATAAGCTCGATGACCATGGCGAGGTGGCGTGTTTATCGACTATGCGAAGGGCCAAGGCATACCGTATCTATGATCCAAAGTGTCCCGGTAGCGTGCGTGTCGTCACCGCGATGTGGTGTTCGGACGAAGGCGCGGGCTGGGATTGGGCATCACCGGCAGCAGAGCACACCGTAAGCGAATGAAAGTGAGTTTATGTTGAATTCCCATGGGCGGAGGAACTCCACGGCAAGGGGAAGTTCGGTTGTCGCCTTCACTATCTCCTCCGCCACATCCTCGCATCGCTGGTTTCTCTCCGGTGAATGCGGGAGAGAGCTGCAATGAAGCGGAGAGGAGCCCGCAATGGTGAGGCAGAGGCGCTGCGTCGCCTGTAACACCTACACCGGCTCCAAGCAAGTCCTCGGGTTAAGCATGTGACCCCCGGAGGATGATGATGAAAGGGTGGATGCCTCGCCACAACGATGAAGAACTCCGCTTATCGGAAGATTCATGACATTATTGGTGATCACCTAACCCTCCGCCAAGCAATGCTTGCATTGCTTGCGTGAATCGAATCTCACCCATTCGGTGAGCCTACAAGCTATGAAGAAGCCAAAGATGATCCAGATTGGCAAGCAGCGATGAAGGAGGAGCTGAGATCAGGAGAGCGGAATGGGACTTGGGAACTTGTTTCTCCCCGTCCTGGTCACCATCCAATTTCACTGAAATGGGTGTTTAAGCTGAAGAAGGATGAACATGGAGCTGTAATTAGGCACAAGGCAAGACTTGTGGCCCGTGGTTTTGTGCAAAGCAGGAAGGAGTTGATTATGAAGATGCTTTTGCACGGTTGCAAGGATGGAATCGGTCGTGTTTTGCTTGCCCTAGCAAAGACAAGAGGGATGGGCAAGACATCACATGGATGTGAAGTCGCATTTTGAATGGAGAACTCAGGAGGAGGTTTATGTTACTGACCTCCGTGTTTTGTAGTACCAGGAGAGGAGAAGAAAGTGTACAGGCTGCACAAGGCTCTGTATGGCCTAAGACAGGCTCCTCGGGCATGGAATGCCAAGCTTGACTTGACTCTCAAGCAGATGGGTTTTGAGCAGAATGTGTATGAAGCTGCTATGTACAGGAAGGGATCAGGTGACTCCCTACTGGTAATTGGAGTCTATGTTGATGATTTGATCATCACAGGAGTCAATCAGCAGAAGATTGAAGCTTTCAAGGCAAAGATGAAGCAAACCTTTGAAATGAGTGATTTGGGTCTTCTGTCTTTCTATCTGGGAGTTGAGGTGAGACAATCAGAAGGGAGCATCACTCTGAAGCAAACCCATTATGCTAAGAAGATACTTGAGCTTGGTGGTATGGCAGGTTGTAATCCAGCCACCACACCCATGGAAGAAAGGTTGAAATTGAGCAAGGAAAGCACAACAAAGGAAGTAAATCCAACTCAGTACAGAAGACTGGTTGGCAGCTTGAGATACCTAGTGCACACAAGACCAGATTTGGCTTTTGCTGTAGGGTATGTTAGCGATTTTGGAGAAGCCAACAACCGAACATCTTCGAAAGTTTGTGAAGAGGATCTTGAGATACCGGTTTGGTACTCTAGATCATGGGCTCTGCTACACCGAACAACATGCAAAGCAAGGTTTGTGGGGTTCTGATGATTTGATTTGGTTGGAGATGTTGATTCAAGCAAAAGCACAACTAGATGTTTGTTCTTCCTTGGAACCACTGGTAAATTTGGCGGATCGGCAACCGTCAAGCAGAGAGAGAGTTGTTGCTCTGTCTAGGCTGTGTGAGGTGAAT